ATTAAAAAAAAAAATAAAGGGGGGAGGAACCCAGAACAGCCACTGTTCCACCCCACCCCACCCCGTTCCAGGACTCAGGGTCCCCCTTTGGAGGGCAGGGCCTGGTTAGCCAGCCAGTCTTCAAGAACACCAGTAGCTGCCTGGGCATAGCTGTGTTAGGAGTGAGAGATTTGCCTGTCTTGGGGCTACTACAGTTACCTAGGGGAGGAGAGCACTCTTGTCTCCAGGGGCTGTACGGCCCCTCATGCCCTTCAAGGAAGCTTGTAAGCAAACAGGTGAGAGGTCCCTCAGTGGAGGACTCTTGAGAACAAAGAGTCATAATAGCCAGTGACTACAGAGAGTTTATTTTGTACCTACCGCCGTGCTAAATATTTTTTGTGCTTTATCTCATTTAATCACGTCAGCAACCCTTATTACCTTCATTTTACAGATGAGGAGGCTGAGGCCAGGAGGGGTTGGTGTGATGAAGAGCATGTGCTCTGTGGTCATGCTGCCTGCCCTTGAATCCTGGCTCCATGCTTGGTAGCTGGGTGACTTTGGGAAAGTTGCTTCCCCTCTAAATCTCAATTTCTCCACCTGTGGAGTGGAGAGTGGAACAAACAGTATCGGTGGCAGGCATAGACAGCTTCTCCAAATGCTTCCCTTTCCTTTCCTGAGGCCGTGCCTTTAGTGGGGGGGAAGCCAAAGTCAAGCTCACGTCTGACTCCCGAGTCCAGACCTCAGCTTTTTTGAGCTACTGCTGCTTTTGTTTAAGAAAGAAGAAAAGCTTTGAAAAGAAACGGTTCCGCATCACAATTTGATTCATACAAACGTAGACCAGACTGAAGGTCCTTGGCGGAGTCTGACAAAAGCCAACATACTTTTGATTCCCTTGGGCCCCCTCCAGTCTGCTGCCATGCCATACTCCAGCTGTGGCCCAGGGCTCTCAGGGCCACTGATAGCCCCTGGTGTTAGGGGCTCCAGCAAGCTTGTGGGGGGTAACTTCTTGCTCTCCTGCCAACCCTTCTCTCCTCCTCCTTTTTCTCCCCCCCCCCCCCCCCGCAGTGAGAAAAAACGCAAGCCCGCATGGACCGACCGCATCCTGTGGAGGTTGAAGCGGCAGCCCCAGGCCAACCCCCACACCCCGAGACTGCCAGCCCCCCACTTCTGCCTGACCCTGAGGAGCTACGTCAGCCACATGGTGTACTGCATCAGTGACCATAAGCCTGTCACCAGCACCTTTGACTTGGAGGTGAATTTCTGGGCTGCCTGGCACTTAACAGAGCACCCGTGCCAGGCCACCTCCCACACCCTCCAGCCCTGGATTCTAATGTCAGCAAACGTCCCAGGGGAGACCTGTAGGAGGACACCACTGCCACTCCTCCCAGGTCAGGTATCCCAGCTCTTAGAAGCTGTGGAGGGCTCTGTCAAAAACGTGTCCAGACCCTTTGTGAACAGGTTTCCATTTCCTCTTGGTACCGTCCCTTGGGGCTAATGAGTTCCATTATGCTTATTACCTACTATGTGAAGTAGGACTTCTCCTTTTTGTCCTAAACCTACCTGGATCAGGTTGCAAAGGGAGCTCCCTCCATCCTCGCATCTTGCCATCGAATGACCAAGGTGATGTTGACTTCCCTTGGTGACCCGCTGGCTGCCTTCAGCCTTCACTTTTTCATACTGGTTTGTCTGTCTGTATACCATTGTGTCCCTCCATATGCCTATAGCTGTTCTCCCCAGAGCCTTGGGGAGGGTTCCTTACAAACCCTAGAGGCCTGAGAGCAGCTCTCTGCCTTCTTTCTTAAACCTGTCATCAACTCCCCCGTTCTCCCCCACCATCACCCCTCAACACTTGACTCTCTGCGTGGTTACCCACCTGGCCCCCATCCCCATCTTCCCTGGCAGGGCCAGCCACCCCCAACAAGCCTTTGGCCCCTTCCTCCAGGTGGCCAGCCAGGGTCTGATACTTTCTCGGGGCAGCCGAGCGGAGTTCGATGCCCACCCCCTTGCGTGCCCTCTTTTCCCCTACTGACCCTGATGTGTTGGAAGGGCCCAGCAAGGACATTCGTCTCAGAGAAAGGAATGATGCTATGGGATTTCAACCCCTTTCCCACTCCTGCGTGTAGCTGAAGCCATTGGTGTCTGCCCCATTGATCACCCTGATACCTGAGGGCCTGTGGAACATGGAAAACGACATGTTGATCAGCTACTCCTTGACCCCAGACTTTCTCAGCAGCCCCTGGGACTGGATTGGACTATACAAGGTGATGTGGCAGGAAAGGCGTGGCGTCCATCAGCCATACTCCTCTGGCTTATCCATCCTGAGGGTTTACGGGAGCTGGGCACAGGCTGAAGAGCTCATGCTCATGCCCCATGGGGGTCCTTGCCCACCTAGGGGCTGGCAGTGAAGGGGAGGGTGCATACGCTACAATGGCCAGCCTGGGGAGTAAAACCGTCCTCTCCTTAGGACTTGCCATAGGTCCTGTGTCCTCCCAGACCACTGACTGCCCAATCCCCTCTCCCACAGGTGGGGCTGCGCCACATTAATGACTACGTGTCCTATGTCTGGGTCAGGGACAACCAGGTCTCCTTCAACGATGGGCTGAGCCAGGTACCTGCCCCCTTTTCTAAGCTAGGTATTCCACGTCTCCAGCATGAGGGCTTGCCTGAGCACCGCTCTGTCTTTGGAAGGAACCGAGGCTGGGATAATTTGTTGCTGAGCGCTGGGTGGGGCCCAGCCTGGGGAGGTGACCCCATTCCTATTCATCCTCCCCTCCAGGTATACTTCAATGTCAGCAATATCCCCGAGACTGAGGACCAGTTTCTCCTCTGTTACTATAGCAACAGTCTACATTCTGTGGTGGGGATAAGCAAACCCTTCAAGGTATGGGATGCTGGTGGGGAAGGGGACTGTCAGAGGACTTGAGCTCCTCGTCGGTTCTCCGAGGGCATGGGCTAGGAACCCACTTGTACCACGGAGCCGCATCCTTTGAGAATGGGAGTGATGGAAAGGCACAAAGGAAAACCTGCTCTTCCCCTCCCCCCCCTACTTCTACTCACCGCCTGTTTTATCCCTGCAGATCCAGCCTGGCTCCTCCTTGGCAGAGGACCTACTGGGTGAAGCCCAACCACATATCTGAGCCCGGATGAGAGTGGATCCAGGGCGGAGGCCAGAGCTGGCAGCCAGCTCTGCCTACCACTGCCAGGAGCGCTGGGGGCCCAGCCCCCAGAAGAGGCAGCAGGTACCCTCCACCTCCCAGGGGGAGCTCTCGCCACACACCTATGCTCTCTCTCCAGTCCAGATCTCTGGAATTGGCCACTTGAATACAGGTTTTTGTTGCTGAGATGTGAGTGCAACCAGCTGGTTTGTCAGCAGTGAGACCTGGGATAGTCCACTGGCTGTGGGAAGACCCTCCAGCCTGCATCTCGTTTCTTGATTTTCCCCACACACACTTCCAGTTCCGCCCAAGCAGGCCTGCCAGGCACATGCCCCATCTGGCACAGGCCTGCATTCTTGTCACGCCATCCTGG